AGCCCTGCCCTGCTGCGGCCATGGCCGCAGCCTGGGCCCCCGGCGCCGCCGGCCAACAACAACAAAAAAGCGTCGCGGGGCGCGCGGGCCGCGGTGGGTCCCCCGCTGGAGCCCCCAGCGGGGCGCGGGCCCCGCGGCAGGGTCGCGGGGGGGCTCCCGTGCGGAGGCGTGCCGCCTCGGCCGCAAGGGAGAGCCGTGGGCGGGCTGTGTCTTTATCCACATCCAGTGCGTCTTGGAGTTTCGGACACTCTCCCCAAGAGGAGGAGGAGGAAGAAGAGGTCATGAGGAGGAGGAGGAGCAGGAGGAGGAGGAATAGGGGAGGAGGGATGAGGATGAGGATGAGGATGAGGATGAGGCGCACTGGATATGGATTATAATCTGCTTCCAAAAAGGCTATTTTTTTATCCATGTCCAGTGCGCCTCGGCCTTGCGGCGCCCCTTCCGAGAAAGTCCAAGGCGCACTGGATATGGATATAAATGTTGCCCGCACCGTGGGTGGGCTGTGCGGGGGTGAGCTTCGTTTGTCGGCCACGCGCAGGGGAGGGGGAGGGGAGGGGGGAAAGGCTTCGTAGTAGCACCCTGAGTCTTAGGAGCGAAGAGAAAAAACACAACGCCATAAGCATAAGCTTTGGGCGCTCCGCGCGAGGCGCCAAAATCCCTTGTTGATGCCTTCTGTCTTCCTCTGTAGAAGGCGCGGGCCTTGTCTGTACACGTGAGGCCCGCGCCTTTCAGAAGCAGCCTCCTTCTCAGAAGCCGTCCCCCCTCCCCCATACCCCGCTCTGCGCGCCGCCCAGTTTAACCGATCCCTATCCTTAAGTCGGGCCTGTCCCTCGACAGGAGAAATATTCAAACATAGTAAAAATAGTCTGGGGACGATTTTTCTGTTTTTTTTATCATTTGGGGGCTTGACTATTTTTATGTTTCGTCCAAAATCCGCCTGTAGGGGGACATGCCCGACCTAACCCTATCCCCCCTCCCCCTCCCCCTCCCCACCATCGCCACACCCCAGTGTTGGCTATGTCCCTCGAAGCTCAAAGGGAACAGCCTACAGTGGAAGCCCATGCCAAGAAACACCCTGCTTGCCTCCAGGGTGCCCTGGGTTTCTCGGAGTTCGATGGTTTTGCGATGCAAAGCGTGATGTTTCCACGGCAAAACTCTATGGACGGCCTGGGGTCTCAGAGTTGGGTTTCTTGTGGAAGGTTTCTTGTGGTCGAGCTCCTACTGTCAGACTGCTGTACTCTGTGATCTGGTCGGACGCGCGCCTCCGAACAGATCGCAGAGTGCTAGTATGTCCTTCTGGTTATGAGGGGGCTCGTGCACGAGATCACTGCCGAGTCAACAGGGGTTTACTCTGACTGCGCGGGCGGCGCTGGCGAACGCGCGAAGGGGGCCGCCTGCGCGCGCGCGTGCTCCTACTGCATACACTCAACCCGCATAGGAAGGGTGGGCAACCTTCCCAAGGGCACCCTCGCGTCCTTGCCCCTTCGGCCCATCCTTAGCGACTCTCGCAGGCCAACCTCGTTCGAAAAGCGTCCACAGGGCCCTCTACGGCCCTTCCATCCTTACCGCGCATCCTTATGATACAGGTGAGCTGTACTGTAGATCCTTCTATACAGGTGTAAGGGGAGGAGGAAGAGGAGGAGGAGGAGGAGGAGGAGGAGGAGGAGGAGGATCACTGACCAAGCTGCCAGGACAGCGAGCGGGCCGCCTTTGGACAGTCCCTCTGCCAACTAGGAATTGTCAAGGGGGTGCACCCGTTACCTGGGGAAATCTCAACTCGTTGCTTGTTGTTGTCGGTTGTTAACGAGGGCGAAACTTGGCTAGCAACCCGCGATGCAACGCACTGGATGGACCAAGAGTCTATCTAGACTTTGTGGCAGCGAGGCGCCGCTTGGCTACGCAATGCGATGCAACGCGGAAACAGACAACGCAAAGTGCTGAAGGAGGTTCCGAGAGGCTCCCAAACTTGCTGCACTTAGGCAGCGTCAAGTGCAGCAAGTGCGTCTGCGTGTGAAGAAGGCGCCAACCGGCCCCCACATCTTGCTGCACTTAGGCAACGCTAAGTGCTGCAAGTGCGTCTGCATGCCGAGTGGCACCTTGGAGCGCGATGCAACACAGTGGATGAAACAACGTAATATTGACACTGCTGGGACCTCGTGGACACTGCCGCATGTTACCGAAGCTGTTATCCAATGTGGTGGGATTGTTAGCCTACTACGCGCTCTGTGCTGGAGCCCGCGCCTGAGAACCTCCTCGCCTGAGGACGCGAATATGCAGCCTCGACTGAATTCGAGCCGGGCGAGGTCCCCACCCGAAAACGAACAGGACAAATGGAGTGGAGGTGCGCGCAGCGACCTAGCCTAAACAAGTGCGGCGCTGCGGATGCCAAGCATCCTGCCGCAAGGTTGAGTCGGGCTGGCCGAAACAACGGCCCGCGAGCTAAGTGGGTATGCCATGCGTAGCCTTAGCCCATAGTCCTAACAACATTCCCGGGATATCGCCTAGCAGCGCGCGGCCTGCAATCCCGGAGCTCTAGCCTTGTTTGTTGAGTCGGTCTGGCCGAAACAACGGGCCGCAGGCTAGCTGGGTATGCGGTGCATAGCCGTGGCCTGCAGCCCTGGCAGAGTTCCAGCGATGCCGGCCCCAGCCTAAACACGTGTGGCTCTGCGGGTGCCAGGAGTCTGCCGTGAATAATTGAGCCGGGCTGGCCGAAGCAACGGTCCGCGAGCTCGTTGGGCATGCTGTGCACAGCCTTAGCCCGCAGTCATGGCAGAATCCCCAAGAGCCTAGAGAGGGGGAGTGAGGAGGCAGTGGAACGGGCCAGCTGGGGGCGGAGAGCGGCCACGCAAGGACGGGGGGAGTAGGAGGAGGAGGAGGGAGGACGAGGAGCCACTTCTGCCATGCAAGGCTGGGGGAGGAGGAGGAGGAGGAGGAGGAGGGAGGACGAGGAGCCAGTCCTGCGGTGCCTAATAGTGTTTGGCCCCCCGCCCCCCGCTGAGTAACCTTGGTCCTGGCTAGCGCCAGTCGTGCAGGAGGAGGAGGAGGAAGAGGAGGAGAAGGAGGAGGAGCAGGGGGAAAAGGAGGAGGAGGAGGAGGAGGAGGAGGAGGAGGAGCAGGAGGTGGAAGAGGAGGAGGAGGAGGAGGAGGATATCCTTTTATACAGGGGCAAAGATCGGCGAGCGGGGCCCAGGCCACCATAACCAACCCCCTCTGGTGGGAGGTTTGTCGGGGTTTTCTGGTCGCGAGGCTCCTTGGCGGCGGGCGAAGCGCGGGGGCGGGCCTCGAGAGAGAAAAAAGACGGCACACACAAACAAACACACACAGACACAGAGACACAGAGACACAGAGACACAGAGACACAGAGGCACACAGACACAGAGACACAGAGGCACAGAGTCACAGAGACACAGAGTCACAGAGACACAGAGACACAGAGACACAGAGACACAGAGACACAGAGACACGAAGGCACAGAGACACAGAGACACTGAGACACAGAGACACAGAGACACAGAGGCACAGAGACACAGAGACACAGAGACACAGAGACACAGAGACACAGAGACACAGAGACACTGAGACACAGAGACACAGAGACACAGAGGCACAGAGACACAGAGACACAGAGACACAGAGACACCGAGACACAGAGACACAGAGACACAGAGACACAGAGACACAGAGACACAGAGGCACAGAGGCACAGAGACACAGAGACACAGAGACACCGAGACACACAGACACACAGACACACAGACACACAGACACACAGACACACAGACACACAGACACACAGACACACAGACACACAGACACACAGACACACACAGACACACAGACACACACAGACACACAGACACACAGACACACAGACACACAGACACACAGACACACAGACACACAGACACACACAGACACACACAGACACACACACACAGACACACACACACAGACACACACACAGACACACACACAGACACACACACACACAGACACACACAGACACACACACAGACACACAGACACACACAGACACACAGACACACACAGACACACACAGACACACACAGACACACACAGACACACACAGACACACACAGACACACACACAGACACACACACAGACACACACACAGACACAGACACAGACACAGACACAGACACAGACACAGACACAGACACAGACACAGACACAGACACAGACACAGACACATCCGTAGCCATTTTGGCTCAAGCCATTCGGCTGAGCTGGATGCGCCCGGCGCCCCTTCTCCGGGGCTTCCCGTGCCCTGCGCATCTTCGCCCGCCGGCATGGAGCTGGAGGCACTGTTGTCCAGGTGCCCGGTGGCCGCCGTGGCCTTTGGCGCGGTGGCGGCGGCGCTGTGCGCGCCGAGCGCGCCCGGCCGCCAGGTGGCCATGGTGGCAGCCTCCGTGGTCCGCGCCGCTGGCACGACGCCCCACGGAGCGCGTGGAGGTGAAGGCGTCCCGGTGTGTGGCGAGGGTGTCACGGCTGCGGCGCACATCAACATCGAGGAAGACCTCTTGCTGGCCGCGCAGGCGTCTTTGGGTCTGAAGCAGAAGCCAGGCGTATCTGACGTCAAGCGCGAGCTCCGGCGGAGAGGATGCCGCTCCTTAGCCTCGAAGTGCGGTCGGCTCTCGAAGCTGCGGAACACCGAGGCCCACATGGCGGCGAGCCTCCCGGCGGCGGTGGCGGCTGCGCTGATGGGCTCGCCTGTGTCGGGCGACCAGCAGCCCGGCTCGGTGGGCCGCTTGGTGCTTGACGCGGTGTCCAGCGAGGAGTTTGCGACGGCCTCTGGCTCCAGCACGGCTCCTTGCCGCTGGAGAAGAAGCTGGTGTCGTCCCAGTCGCCGGCCTCGGACTTCCTGCACGACACCGAGAAGCAGGAGGTAAAGTTGGAGGAGTTCAAGTTGCTGGTCTCGGACGAGCAGTTCGTCAAGAGCGGCTGCGCCACGCCTACCGCTGCCTGCTTGGGTGGGCGC